TCTCTCTCTCTCTCTCTCTCTCTCTCTCTCTCTCTCTCTGTGTGTGTGTCGACAACCGGGAAATCTATTCGACAAATTTACAATGCTTATTCAGGCTGACAGGATCACGCTGCATACAGGGCGCATCTGAAAACCGATACATGCACGACAGGGCGATGTCCGATCTCTCTATATCGTGCTTCGAGACGATTTTCCCTCCACCAAAATTATCGTTCTCACGATAGTACGTGGCGAATTATTGAATTCGCGAGAGACAATGAAACCTTCGTTACGAGCGTCTAAATTTTCGCTGTTCTACCGCGACACTCAATTACCGAGACATTCGAAATTCGCGAGAATCGCACATGAAGATACAAAGCTCCACGCGATGGAATTTCGCCGAGGAAATATCGTCCGCCGAATACGATCTCTGATCATACGCTAATCGGCAAAGTAACCGTAACGTGCGACGTATCTGAGTTATTCGAATTTTTTAATCGTACACATTATTGATTCATTAATGTAAAGAGAGGCTGTAGAAGAAGAATGTAAAAAAAGTTGTAAAAGAAGAAGATTATTTTAGGATCAAAGAAGCGCGTGAATGACGCGTCCAAACGGTAATCTATCGCTGATAGTCTCGCGTTAATGTCCAAGAACGAATGTGCACAGCTGCAAAATACTAGTAACCTAACTGCACCGCGCGCCAAGGTTATTTCTGCCGGCAAGTGTACACTCGATATGTAATCTAAACACGCGCGACGCGTTCAACCTGTCGGTCCGAATCCGCTGGCGAGAGGAGTCAATACGCGGACGGACCGCGATCGGGAAACAGGCGTATGGACCGAATGGATGCTTATACGAGAGTCACATACACGCACCTTACTACTACTTCTACAGTCTTGACCCTGAGGGCGACTGTGAGGCCCACTGACCAGGTTGTGCGACGGCGGGACCGAAGTCGGCTGGTTCTGATTGAGGTTGCGGTGCGATGCGTTGAGTTGGACGCGTTCCGTATCCCATGCGTTGGCACCGTGAGGGGGTGCAAGCCCGGCTAACCCCCTCGCCGGCGAGGGCGGACCTACCAAAGCACTGGGTGGCAATGACGGACCGGTCCCCGATATCACTGGCGCTCCCTTACCATTACCAATAAGGGCCCCAGTATCCACGTTTTTTGGACACGATTGCATCGGGCATGGACATCCCTGAAAGGCTGCGTCGCGAACGAAAGTCACGATGAATTTGTGCCACACATACGAGGTTCGGTTCTCGCGCCTCCGATCCTCCCGCCCTCGTCCGACGAAAGAAACTCGTCGAGTAGGTGTCTGTCTATTATTTGTGCAATTTTTCGTTCTTTTTGTTCTCTCTCTCTCGTGTTATCTTTCTTTTTCCGCGCTTCCTTTTGTTATCTCCAACCCTATCTCAACCTTTCGCCGCGCCACGCGACTGAACGTCATCTGACATGATATTTGCGTATCGGCCGCAAAAAGAAAGCGGAATAAAATATGACAATGAATTTTTATTTTGGCGATATAAATGTTATCCAACGAAAAAATAGATGTGTCATATTGAGCCAAATTTGTCGGGTGTACGCGTGCGTCTTTCGTGGGTCATTTCTCCTCAAGACGTGGATGTATGTTCTTCGCGGTGGAGGGATTAATATTGTATCGTTTTATTGCGAGACGTTCTACACGCGCACGTCCGTTCACTAGGTTTCTAAGCTGGCATGTTCCCTGAACAAAGCGAACCGTTATCCCACTCTTATCGCGCTGCCGTAGATAACATTTTTCAAACTCCCCGAAATGCGACTGGATTGTCACGGCGAGTGTTTTTGTCGAGGATCGATTGACAGGCAGTATTCAAACATGATGATCGAATTCCCAATACGTTTGATAACAAATCAGCGAGAGAGAAATAGTTACAAAGAGCAATTACCGCACTTCTCACATTTATTCTTCATGACGTGGCGGACGTCGTCGCGAAATCTCGAGCTTTCATGCCGTCTCATCGTCGTCATCGAGTAAATAGTAGACAATTCTTATTGAACATTGTACACTACGTGAAGGACTCCTCACGACTGAGTGCAGTCGTATGTGTGGGAAACGAGTCAGTTTCTACCCTCACTCTCGCTCTTCGTCAATTGTACACTTTAATCCAAGGTTACCAAACTAGATTTTGCCTCAGGTAAAGACGGATCTACGTTGGTCGTATCGTAGCGTCGCAAGTGTCGTGTGATTCGTCATAGAAGTTTGGTCAAACCCAAGCTTCAACGATTCTACGACACTACGGTTCAACGGCTTCAACGTTCACAAGCTTCAACGGTTGCTACGATCAACCAATCAGCGATGAGCTAGAGTTGTATAATTCAAAAATATATATAATACAAAAAGTAATTATACTCATCATTAAAAGCATATACTTTTGTACTACTCTTTCTTCCATTGTCAAACAAACAACACTATGTATACTGTTTCGGTGCGCTACTGTTAATTATTTCTCATTGGTCAACACCAGCCACATGTAAGAAGCTATATAGACAGTCAGCACTCACGAACATTACGATGCAATGATTTTGCGATGTCACGATGTTACGATACGATCAGTGTAGATCGACCTTAAAACATTGCGGGTCTGCCATTTTGGGAATTATCAACTGCGAGATTAGCATATTTTCCAAACTACTTTCGTTTTCATATTTCTCTATAGATAAATATAGATGAATTTATAGATGAGTTCCTTGAAATCTGGCGTTTCGATGGAAAAATAATTTTTTTTAGATCTTGTTGACTTTTGTGACAGTCATATAACGAAATATAAGACGTGGGGTAGCTATTATCCCATGTATGACAGGCCCATGGTTTTGTTGATATCCCCAGATTACGCAAAGCCGAAAATATCTGACGATGCCGATAGTTAATAGAAGTTTTCCTTTTCCAACTAATGTAACCAAATTTTAAATTATTAGGAGCTCCTCAAGCTTCGAAGCATCTTTCATGCATAGGTAACGTAATTTAGGTAACATTCCAGCTATTAGATTTATGCGAAAGGTTTCTCATGTCTATCAAAACAAAATTATTCCAACATTCAAGGAAGATTTTCTATTTTGCTTTCAATATCCAAACTTACTACGAGAATTGAAATAATGACAAATCTTTTGCACCGAATTAGTTAAATGCCTCGAAGATCAGAATGGATCCCACCCAAAGACGAGACGGAACTTTCCAATTCTTGATTAGAATACAAGCCTGATCTCTGGCCTCGGTCCTTGGCATTACTGCCACGTTGGTTGCTCGCGTATCTTGGCTTCATTGGAGTGGACCGTCACGAGACGACGATGACGAGTGCGCGCGATACCACGCGTTGTCGAGTCGGTCGAGGCGTGAATCTGACGCTGCGCTTTCTTGCGACAACGATAATTGCGTTAACGGAGCGCACGATGATACGATGCGAAGTACCGTTACTGTTAGGTGTCTCTGGAATGCCGGTTTCCCGAATAACAAGAGCCGTCGCCGCGAAGAACGCGCCACCACGCGGCTTGTTTCCTTTCCTTTCGGTAATTTCTATCTTTGTCGGGGCGACAAAGCCCGGTTTTCCACGATTTCATCGATCAACGCGACTTAATTCTTTGAAACACTTCAAAATTTGGATTCTAATAAAATACTCATGTCATATATCTAAAATGATAACCTAAGAGATTTTTTTTATTAATATTTTTTTAGTAAAATTAAATTGTCAACATTAGCCGCGGCAATGAAAAGGACACTGATATTATGACGACATTCCTTGGAATTTTCGTGTCTGTGATCTTTTAGAGAAAAATTCAGACAGCTTTGAGAAGAAATTTAAGCAATTTTGGAACGAATTTTACATGACTTTGGTTTGCAGTGGTAAATAATATCCGTTTCAAACGAGTAGTTTCAAAAAAATATCTGGTCACAACCGAGATTCGAACTAAAGTACACACACACACACACATACAGTTATCCTTTCTTGGGTCGAGTGTTTTGTCCGTTCAGTCACATGGACGCTGTAATTACCAGCTCTTTTTGTGCGAGTGACAAGGGTAAGAAAGAGGGTAGAACAGCGGTGACTCGTTTAAAACTCGTTTACACGTGCACAAAAATTGGCTCGAAGCAAACCTGTTGTATAACTTCATTCTTTCAATAATTAAGATACGCGAGCGATCAATTTTGCACGCGTAAGAAATTCGTCGGCGTGCTTAACAAGATCCATTTTTATCTACATTTGTGTGTCAGAATAAGATAAAAATTAAATTCAAGGCAATTAAAAAATTTCGGCTCGTATAGCGTATAATAGACATCGAAATTTCACTACCTAGAAACCTTCGGACGATACATCGTAAAGAGCAGAGTTCTCACTTGAGTTGAACGATTCGTCATAGCAATGAGCTCTTTTGTGGGAAAAGAATTCTCGAAGAAAGTCTGAACAAAGGTGCCACTCCGTATTGTAAAAATTTCCGAATTTTGTCAGGATATTTTCTCGTACGCGCTTCTTCGTACAAATGACAGGTTGGGACGGAGACGAGAGTAAGAAAGAGATAGATAGATAGAAATACTTACGGTCTACGAAAGGTCTTCCCTGAGAATGCAGATATGCCGGATTCGGTGGAGGTGGCGGCGGCGGAGGGGGCGGGGGATATGCCCCGTGTGTGTAATAGTGTGGCAACGGATATTCGCCGGGCGGCGGTGGCGGCTGGTAATCAACGACTCCAGGGCCACCCCCGGCGGCCCCGCTGCCAGGCGGTCCGCCTCCCCCACCGGACTCTTGATAGCCATAGTATTGCCTGGAAAAATATTTTTCCTTACAAAATGCGTGTCACTCGGCAGTCGACGAACGATGGTGTAGTCGCGAGCGACGACGGGAATAGTGCGAAGGAACAGTCGACATGGCGAGCACACAGGTAGTTCGGTAGTGACACGAGCAGAGCGAGCCGCGTCGAGAATAAATTTCAGGACGGTCGAAAATAGAAGCGTTAAAAAATCGAGCAGAAAGACCGACCTTTATCAGAAAAAGTTCTGATTTTGCTGTCGGTGCTCGGCAAATTTTTCGGCGACCCGAACTTTCGCGGTCGAATTTTCACATCGAACACGACGCGATTTCCCGCGCGCGGACTCCGGACGTGAGCAAAACGAACATTTGAAATCAGTATCTAAAAATTAACAAGAGTGAAGTGCTCTTTGTTTCAACGTTACAAAAAGAATTCTGCAGCTGACGCGCCATGTTTTCGGCGCTTGGACTTCTCGGCAATCTGAACTTTCAGAATCGGATTTTTACATCAAACATGTCTAAGAATTAATGAAAATATCTTCTTTATTTTAATCGGTGTGTGTCACAAGAAGGTTCTGCATCTAACGTGTCATATTGCTGATTCTTCAGATCCAAACCTTAGAGTGAACCGGCGCATTTTTCGACGTAGGTTTCAGATGCGATTCAGATGTAGGTGTTTTAGAAGCTCAGAATCGGCACTCAAAAATAACGAAAAAGGAAACCATTAATATTGCTCAAAAATGCGAAACTCGTCGCGCGATAGCGCGACGAATTGCCCGAACCGATCGGCCAAACAGCCGCGCTACCAATTCGCGATCTCCCTCTTTTGTATCATCTCACAGCGAGTGAACGAGTGACGCATAATAACGAAGGGCAAATAAATCTCTTACCTTCTGTAGGGCGCGTATTTGTAGTAATGCGGCGGATGAGGGTGAGGATGTGAATACGTCGGCGGATAACACAGATCCGGATACTGCGGCGGCGTGCCGTAGTACTGCGGGCAATATGCCCTATAAAAGCCTCCACCTGTAACAAACGATCGTTCATTCATTCCCGCTCGCGTCGAATCCCGTCGAATTCGGCGGGAACACAACGACGCGGCCTCGAAAGCCGCGTGAATCAATTCCGGCTGTCCGAATTTCGCATCGCGCTTCAGAACGGACGCAGTGCGTGTCGGTTTATGGGAAATATCGCTGGTATTCCTCGTCAAAAGCGGTGTTCTCTGGTCATGATGATTGAATTTATTAATATAACTCGTTGCTAACGATCGCCTCTGATCACGGAATTGCTCTCTCTTCCCCCCCCCCCTCCCTTCTCTCTCTTCCTCTAATTGATTGATCGACGATAAGACCTCAATCTTCGAACAGAAGTAAAAAAGAGATGTCGAAAGATTGCCATTAGCGTGAGCGAATAGTCCGTTTGATTTCATTTTGTTCACGATGCAAATATGACAAATCAATTTTATCGAGTATTCGACAGCATCGCTATCGTCGAGGCGGCAGAACGATCTTACACATCGGTACTCGTGTACCGCTCCCCAGCAATGGAGAACTAAGCATATCCGTGTCCCTGATAACACCGGCTATCAGTGACGTTTTCTGCGGAGTAATCTTCGTGCGTAGATGTGTCGTACAGCTACACGTACATGTACACACGTGTACACACATGTATACTCTGCCGCGATATCGATATGGTGCTCAAAGGTAGCGAAAGAGCGCTATATATTATCGAACACGCCGATATCTCCGTCCAATTAACTCGTGAGTGCTCGCGCTATTAGCTACGCGAGCTCACGTCAATGCAACTCTGTGATTTAGAGACAGCTTATTACACGCTAATATCTATAATACCACACGCCCATGTGCGACATGCCGAGAGTTGTACACGCTGGAAAACGCGGGAAAAGTGCCCTCTCACGATTCAATCTTGACGTTTTCGCACGACACATGCGCGAATGCTATTCACGGTACACGATTTCTCTCCACTGAGAGAAAAATATCTAAAAAAATAAAAAATATCTCTTCGGTAGATATTAGTAACATATTTACCAATACTAATATGAAATACTTTTCAAATAAAAAAATATATATTTTTTTCAATCTTACACAGAGGAAAAAATACCTGAAAATTTATTTGTGAGATATAAAGTTTATTTCTGTGTGAGTAAACTTTATATCCCACAAGTAAATTTCCGAGCATTTTTTTCTCTGTATAGCTTTTAAAACCAAACCAATTGTTTTTCCATTTGAGTAAAAAAATTCAGATTTAGATAAATATTTGATTAATAGCTGAATATATCTAAATATCTAAATATTTTTTAGATACTTTTTTCTTTCAGTGTACGAGAAATCTTAACCGCAGTTCTTCGCTAAAATGTAAAAAGTGTTCAAGAAATCAGATTTCCGCGGAAATCTACTTTATATCTACTGCTTGCAGACTTTTCGAGAAACTAACCATTTGGCCGAAATTCGCGTGAGAATACCGTCGCCGGATGTGAGGAGATAGGGAAAGAACGTACGTGAGAGTGCGAGAAAGAGTAGCGAAAATCGAGCCGCGTGCTTTTCCCTCCCGGTAAGCATGGCTGAAACTTGTGCCAATATAACTCATAAACTTAATAGCCCGCACACGTGCGCGCTCATTAATGCACTGCCGACACGGTTAATCGTGTCGCGTCGGGCGTTTACACGATAAAATCGTTAATGCAAACGCGAGATCTGATAGCGTGCCCCGGCGAGACGCGCGACGACGTTCGCCAGAACGGCAGATCCGCTCGATAAGACTAGCTAACGAAATCCAAGCGACGTGTAAAACGTAGAGACCGTCCTAAAAGCGAACCGAGCGTGTTACGCGATTCCACCTCCACTCATATCGAAGCTCTCATTCCCGACGCGAGATTTAGCTGGCCAACCCACTTTTTCCGAACATCCAAGTGCCCCATTTTCTTGTGAAAAACAAATTCTAATCAAGTTTCGTTTGAAAATTTCATAAATCTTTTTAAGTGGCTCTTCCTCGAATAATCTTCTCGTGTTGTCGTAAAAAATCTCTTCGAATTGAACAAAAATCCCGCAGCATCTTACACGCGCTTTCGCTTTCTTCGAGCAAATAGCGTGAGAAGAAGCTTCCCTTTTCGCGACCCTTTGACTACCGTTGTTGCGTAGGTCATTTCAATTATCAGCGACATACCTGTACTGCTCGTGCCTCCGGAGGTCGTGGAGGTCGCCACCAAGTCATCGGAACCCTCGGAATTTTGCGGAGGCGTGGGCGTCGGTTCCGGAGGTGGACCTTTAACGGGTGGTAAGGTAGGCGGGTGCTGTATCAGTGGACCAGCCGGCTGATAATACCCTGCGAACAAAAGAGCAACGTGTGCACTTTCCCAACTGATCCTTCCTTCCTAATTTTCGATATTGCCTTGTAAACCCGCGCGAAAATAGCACCCGCAGCTGCAACTTACGCGAATTCTCTCGATACGGTAGTTATCGAGTTGTTTTCGGATAATGGACAAGCTGCAATTTTTATCACGACGGTATGTAACTTCCAAATTTAGACGCCGGAAAGATCGAACGTCAAAGTCACACCGTGCGAAACAGATCTGAGTCAGATCACCGTCTGAGACAGATATTCCCGATATTCTAAACCTGCAAAAGCATTTCTGGACTGCGTTTCAAACGCTAAATACGCCCTTCTGATATTCGAGCACATGAAAAAAAATATTTGCTATATATATATGGACAACTAAAATTATTAGCTGCAGGAGTAAATTTTCTTGCAAATCTTTTAGCTATCACAACTAAATAACTTTGCTATGAAAGCAAGAAAATTTGCTCCTGCAGTTAATAATTTTAGTTGTCCATATATTAGCAAATCTTTTTTTTTCATGCAAAAACAACGTTATCCTCTAAATTTCTTGGAGTGAAAATTCACTCGAAAAGGAGGGACCGTCAAATCCAAGTGATTTTTCACTCATTTAGAGAATTCTCTACTGTGAAATATCAAGTGAATATTTTTACCTAAAATTGTAGAGTGAATCTGATGTACTCCACCGCCACGGAATATGTATAATCGATTGAAATATTCATACGCACATAGAAAAATATTCTACTGCTGACAAATGCGATTACTCAGTTTACTTCCCTTTCTTTCAGTATCTTCAACAAAGGATATTTTCTCGATAAGAGTCTTAAAAATATACTCATCACAAATTTTAGAAAAGCTCATTATCGTACTCAAAAGAAGAATTTGTTCTCTCTTTGTACAAATAATATAAAACTTTTTTTGTTTTAATCTAATATTTTCTTAATTAAAATGCCAAACTTACTAGAATTCAGAACTTATTCTTATATATATGAACTTATGAAGAACTTAAAAAAAGTGCTTTTGTTAATTTTCACTTAACTGTATTTTTCTATGTGTAGAGTCGGAATCTACTGTACTTGAATGAAACATTCACGATTTCGAGTGGCAATATTTTCGCCTCGAGTGAAAGCACTGCCACTTTTCACTCCTTTTGAGCGAGATTGCTCTCAAAAAATTTTGAGAATGCATGACGCTCAAGTGAAAAAAAAAAGAAACGATACCTGCAGTCAGAAAGGAGTATCTAGCGTTCGCTACACGTTCAGTAGGAGATCCCCGCACGTATCATTGACGATCGTTCGATCGCCGCGGTATTATCGACCGATATGATTTTTAGAACTACAGATAAGAAGTGTAGATTACGAGACGACTTGTCCCGCGGTCTCGAGCGCATAGAAGAACGTCACGACGCTAATAGGAGAGCAGCGAATCGCGCCGCGTCCGATTGGATAATGCCGAGGCGTTACACTTCAATAGTTTATAGCCGTGGGAGCGCGAATAAGTCTCGTCGAGTCCCGCTAATCCGACCATTCGTTCGCGACTCGGCTCCGCGAGAGCGCGTTTTTCAACTTCGTGCGACGGCGCGAAGTCGATTGCGGTCGCGCCTACGCTTTTAATCAGAAAACGAAGCTGAGGGCGCGCGTAAAGCGCGTGATTCGTCGCTGCAACGAGCCGAAGCCGCGCGCAAGTCGCAATGAGCCTCACCTTCTTTTTTTCAAACTACCAGCGAAGGAACGAACGAATGAAACCGGCTTTCTCCGCGCGAGAAGCGCCGACGGGACCGCGACGCGGTGCATATCGATTATCTGAAAGATCGTTCGCCATTTACTTCGCCCAATCACGATTCCACTTTATGTAGGTTAAACGCGCCTCGCGCTCACGCACGAAGGAGAGAGAGAAAGAAGGAGAAAGAGAAAGATAGATAGATAGAGAGAGAGAGAGAGAGAGAGAGAGAGAGAGAGAGAGAGAGAGAGAGAGAGATGGGCGCAGCATCCGAGGCTCGTGGAGCAAGTCTGTGATCCCCGAGCGAGGGACAAAGCGAGACGAGACGTTTTCTTTTGCCGGTGTCCTCATTAGCGCAAGCCGTGAATTTATCTCTCGCACGGTGAATTATTAAACGTTATTAATCGTGAAAAATTGCGGGGAGCGCGGCGCCGCGGCCTGACGCTCCGGACTTCAAAATTCGAGGACGCTGCGTGCGAAACATCATCGTCGGTGACGCGCTGCGCTCGCCGTTCGCACGACGACTTATCGAACAACTGATTGCGAGTAATTACACGACAAAGATAATAATGGCGTGCATTAATTGGGAGTAATAGTGACGATAAACGCGGATGAGAAGAGTGACGATAATTAAGTGTGCTGAGAGAAGAAGGAGTACCAATAGATTTGCAAAGCGAATCTCTCGGGCTCTCTTCAGGTAATCGACGGGACTTCTTACGGAGCAAATTCGTGAACAACTGCGAAGTCAAAGTTTTTGTCGCAAATCAGGACTCTTTTCGTCCAACTCCCACAGAAAAAGAATTGTTTGAATTAACGAAATGTCTGGTGAAAAATCTGACCAGAATTCCATTGAAGTTACCATTGAAGAATTCTGATCAAGTTATTAACAAGATTAACTTGAAATAGTTCTGTTTAGCCAGACATTTTGTTTGGTTAACCAAAATCTCGTTAATTTGAACAAATTTTCGATAACTTCAATGGGATTTTGGTTCGTTCATATTTCACCAGATATTTGGTTAATTGAATAAAATCTTTTTGTGTGTGTGCAAAGCACACCATATAGGCTATATTGTCTTATCTTATTGCGACAAGTGCCATACTTAATGCTATTTTCTTCAAATCGAGTTATTCTCGAACAGAACATCATTTCATATTCGATAAATTGCTTTTAAAAAGGACCACATCAGATTTATTTAATATTCCATTATTTCGATATGTACAATAAGCACATATAAGGATAAGTAAAATAACAAATTCTGTTTCCTCATGATCTCTTTATCATTTATTTTCTTCTCATTGGCATTGTGGAATAACAGATATATCTATGAAAGAAACATCTATTATTCATTGACAGAGCGCGGCACTCTGCCAAGCCGCTTAATGCATCTAGAAACATGCGATGTATCGCTGCTCACGTTCTGGCGTCCTACATCCTCCTAGCTTTCCGATCCAGCATCCTGCTCCTGGCTGGCCCGTTATGGCACTCCGGATACTAGCTCGTGGCTCTGACATTCGCGTGGATACGATTCGATCGGAGAAACGCGCGTTAATTAACGCGGCGTCGACGAGAATCCGATGCAATATTAGCCGACGTTTCATGGGAAATGTAACGCTCACGATTATGGAGAAAAAAGTGCGACGCTCCGCGAGAGCATCAAAACAATCGGCAAAAAGTGTAAGCTAGCTCCCTCCCATCAACAGTCATCGCTCGTCAATGAACGCCGAGCGATCACATCAAAACACCTGAGGACCTTCAAAGCGACCAACACACCGTTGTGCGTCGCGCACTTTTCCGAGTGTTTTCAGTACATCCCGAGTCGGCGAGCGACGCGTACACCACGGGCTTTGTGTACGTTCTTGTCCTCGAATGATTGAAATGTTTCATTGAACTTTTCGGCATCGCGTTATTAAACACGTGCATCCTCGATCGAATCGCGCGAGTGTCAGTGTCAGTGCCACGACGGATTAGGATACTGGGTCGAGGACTTAGGACGGAGGACGCAGAGAGACGTCAGCAGAGCGATATATCGAGCATTTCCAAGGTATGTCAAATCATCCGTTACGCAGGTTTCCGTTTTTCGCGGACATCCGACGGATTTACCGATGCCCGAGTCGAAATTCGGGCCGACATTCATAGTCTGTCATCGTTTAGTAATTTTAACAAACAATTTTAGCTTCACTAATCTCCGATTATTCGTCAATCTATGTTTGTTGCATTATTGCATATGAGAAGAAACGTTGATTCAAGCTTAATCAAATAATAGTCCATGAATGCAGATTTGTAGTTAATTATAGTTCTCAATCAAAGATCATGAATAATTTACAATTGTGAATATTGGCCTTTAGAATCTAGTATAAATATCGTAAGTGCTGATTCATATGTCCAATAATGTTTCTCTTAACAGCGCTTCCTTTTTTTATTTCTGTTTCTTGTTATTGTTAAGTCCAATATTAAATGTCTACTAGTAAATACAGACAGCATTACTGGATATCAGCATGACTGTTATCTCTGACTTTACAGTTATCTTAATATCAGCTCTTTTAAAAGCTACAAATCCCGTCCAATAGAAAAACAAGATTATGAGAATAAACGCTTGTTTTCTTTACTCATTCGCTCATTAACTCTCACTACATTATCCAGCATTTGCTCATCTCACATACTTACTTTTTTAGTGTCTGAGCAAGCTACCAAATTAATATTAATTGTTGACTGGCATTAAGAATAAAGATTAGATGATAAATGAACGAATGTAATTGATTATTAAATACGAAAATTAAATTAAATTCAGATGAAAAATATTAAATAATTTCGAAATGTGTCTTTTTATGGCTCAATAATAGAGAAAGTGGCAATAGATGAGCGTTTGTGTGTATCATCAAAGTGAGTAACTTGTATAATGATCCCATTAATTCTTCAGATTCTTCATTGGTCCTTCAAGCTCGAAGGAACTTGCAGGGTGAATGTAAAGTTAAAATTTTGGGTTGTGCGAAAAGTTTCTCGTGTGATACATAATCACGATAATTGCTCGATGAAGTTGGCGAATTGACCGACACAGACGAGCAGCACGTCGCTTCATTTATTCATCAGCACTTCGCGGCGATTCTGTATACGATCGCGTTCGGAAAAATGCAATTATTCCACCGACACGTATAGAGACAAGCTACGAATCAAATATTCGGAGCATCGAAAGGCCAAAGTTGAAGAGACGAGCGTCGATCTCTCTCTCCCTCTCTCTCTCTCTCTCTCACACTCTCTCTAGGGCTTGTTC